GGGTCTATAGGGGCAAGGGTAGTGGGGTTGGTCTAAGGGCAAGGGGTAGGGGCACAAGAGGGAATTCGGTCTGTAGGACAACCCCGGCATAAGGGTGATTATCGTATACACTCAAACATTAAAGAAAAAAAAGTTGAGTCACTTCCGGTCGAAATCTCTGAGTTCCTTCGGGAATTCTAAGATGGCTTTGGAGACGACCTATTATCTTGGGGTCCTTGGGGTCCTTGGGGTCCGGGGGTCCGGGGGGTCACTCCCAGGCTGCTTTTAACGACCCCGGGAAGGTATGCGAGGTATGGCAGGGTAGGGAGAGACATGGGAAGGGGGGGGGGGGGGGGGAGCGTCACGCTAACGCACATACACGGGAACTAGACATACACACGTACTCACTGCGTATTTGCATATATGTACAAAAAGTACACATATATAGAAATAACAATTAAAAAGACAGACACACACTCACACACGCACACACACACACACACACACACACACACAACACACACACACACACACATAGATAAACGGTGAAAATAAACATTGACGCGAACAACTGTCACATTCAACGATTAGAAAAAGAAAAAAAGAGAAAAATATTCATACATGTTCATAACAGCTCTTGATAAAATATGACAGATCACTCAACGCAATAGTCATTACGCGAATGAGTGGCATTTGTTTTTTTTTTTTCTTTCTTTTTTTATATATTTTTAAGTATTAATAAATGGGTAGTTCTTCTCGGGGCAAAGAGAGAGAGAGAGAGGAGAGAGAGAGAGAGAGAGAGAGAGAGAGAGAGAGAGAGAGAGAGAGGAGAGAGAGAAGAGAGAGAGAGAGAGAGAGAGAGAGAGAGAGAGAGAGAGAGAGAGAGAGAGAGAAGAGAGAGAGAGGAGAGAGAGATGAGAGAGGGGAGAGAGAGAGAGAGAAAGAGAGAAGGAGAAGAGAGGAGTGAGAGAGAGAGATGAGAGAGAGAGAGAGAGAAGAGGAGAGAGAGAGAGAGAGAGAGAGAGAGAGAGAGAGAGAGAGAGAGGAGAGAAAAATTTGCGTAGACAAACAGAGAAGTATGTCTTAATTTACACAGACATACAAATAAACACGAACCATACATACAAACAGACAAACAGAAATAAAAGATAAAGAGAGAGAACCGCACGAAATGAAAAGAGACGCGAGGCCGCCCACCGTCCACCGCCCACCGTCCTGCGCCCAAAACCTGATCATCACCATCATAATGATCGTCGCTGAAACCCAGTAGAAATAAGCCTGGCTTAAGCCTCCTCCCCCCCCCTAGGGCTGCCTCGATCGGTCTTCAGGCGCAGTAATTGGTATTTTTAGATTGGACTTTATTTATTTATTTATCTATTATCTATTTATATTATATTATCATTATCATTATTATTATTATGATTTATTATTATCATTATTATCATTATTGTCATTATCATTATCATTATTACTATTATTATTATCATTATTTCATCATTATTATTATTATTATCATTATTTATTTCATTTATTTATTTTTTGAGAATGTGGATATCGATTCCTTTCTTGTGGGGGCTTTCTGAATGAGAAAATATTTTTAGAAGAAAATTAATAATGAATGTGAAATAAGCTATGTTATCGGTAACCCTATTGTGATTACAGATTGATTGCTTACTTTAATTTAAGCGTAGGCATAATTGTTCTCTCTCTCTCTCTCTCTCTTCTCTCTCTCTCTCTCTCTCTCTCTCTCTCTCTCTCTCTCTTCTTCTCTCTCTCTCTCTCTATCTCCTCTCTCTCTCTTTCCTCTACGTGCATCTACCTCGCCTTCCATCTATCTTCTTCCGGACATTTGATATCTAAGCCGAATTAATCCCGGGCGCGAGCTGGGATTATCAAGGAAGCACGGCAAGTTACCGAAAGCTAATGCCGCGACCACCATATGGCAACATTTACCCACGCGCCGCCTCCCGATATGGCAACATTTCTCACCTTATCTTTCCTATCACGTGATTCTATGCCCTTTTGGGGCTTCTTATCGGACATCGAAGACGAGGCGATGTCTTTCGCTATGGCGGGGCGGTGCTTTTGACTGCGTGTGTTGCATTGCTGTAGATTTCAATCACGGGATCTGGTTCTGCTGCCAACGAGTTTTTTTTCTTTTCTTTTACGCATGCGGGGCAGATTAGGTAAAATGATCGCGCTTGAGGTTTGGGTCCCTCGCGCTAATCGTCTTTGGGTTACTTATTATCTTGACAATAGGCATGGAGAGGAACGCCCGCACCTACCCTCCCCACCCCACACACAATAGTGGCACACACACACACACACACCACACACACACACACACACAACACTACACACACAACACCACACACACAATATATATATATATATGTGTGTGTGTGTGTGTGTGTGGTGTGTAACATATATACACTAAATACCTTAAATATATCCTCCCTACGGAGCTTACACAAAAAAAAATCCTTTTAAAAATAGCCTTGTCTTCCCTCTTCCCTTCCAC